GATAGATAGATAGATAGATAGATAGATAGATAGATAGATAGATAGATAGATAGATAGATAGATAGATAGATAGATAGATAGATAGATAGATACCTTTATAATGATCTAAAGAATGACCAGAACTCAGTTTTTTTTCTCAAAGCACCTCAAGGTTGTGGTGCAAAAGGAGATTTTGATCATACAAGTACAGATCTGCAGCACATGTGTGAAGCTATGATGCCAATATCAACAAAAATCTCTGAGCAATGTTTCAAGCACTTTGTGGAGAGAGTTTAAGGCAGTTCTGAGTGTAGAAGGCCGACAAGTCTTGGCCAGTAGGTTTTTGTGCAATTCACATTTTTTAATATTATGCTTTACACCATGATGCTCTTTGGTTATAGCCCAGAAATGACAATGCTAATATGTAGTAAATAGAAGGTATGAAATAAATACTTACTGGGGACCCATGTAACCAGCTTTAAATCAATTATCAGTGATGTGACTGTTAATGCATAAAGAACATGCTTTTTGCCTATAAAAAACATGCAGAATGATAGTTTTCTCTGTTTAGCAATAAAAAGCATATAAACAGTTACATTTAGTTAAAAGCAAGCAAAAAAGTATTAAATGTCTGTCAGCAATTACACCGTCTGCCATATATTTTATACAACTATGTTTTGTAATAATGTCATATTGCTGTTTTTGTCTTTGAAAATATTAACCATGCTTAATATGCTTACTTGTACACTTCACTCTCTCTCTCCAGATCCTTCCAGCTGATGAGATGCTGAGGAACTTTCTTAATAGCAGCCCAGGTATCATTGTACTTCTCCTTGTACACTTTCCCAAAACAGCCCTCTGCAAGGGTGCTGGTGGAGTACGCCATCTAGGAGACGCTGTGAGAGCCTTAGAGTGAGAGGAGGGTCATTTTACTCACAAAACAAAGAATGATAGAATTGATAACAAGGAGTATATTCTGTAGTATATTCAGGTTTGGTGACAACTACAATGTTTAGTTATATGATATAAGCGTGAGTAATTGTAATACAAGCCAGTAAATATTTATGTTTGGTGGAGAACGATTGTGAGTAATACCCTGTACTTTCAGTGCTTTTGATGATCTTGAAATCACTCTGTTCTGTTTCTGGTACTAGCTGCTGTGACTTTTAGTACTTTCCACTTTAGACATTGATAAAACAACAATTCAGTAAAGCAATTCAGGACAGCAAGGTTATTTTAAGGACTATAAAATATGACTTATTATTATTAAATATGACTAATATGCTTCTTAAACCACATTGTGAGTATCCTTAATGATCAAGATTAAATATAAAATATTAGTAGCTAACATAGCAGTAACTATCTAGAGATATTGCTTGATAAATAAAAGTAAAAGTAAAAAGCAAATAAACTCAGGTCATTTAAACAGCACTGACTATATTTATGTTTAGCGTATTGCCATTTTAACTTACAGCAAATAAAATGTGTTTACCTTTTTCAGATCTCACTGAGATATCGAACGTAATCACAAACAAACTGAGACTGAAAAACTGCTCTCACTCACCTTTCAACCTAACATTCATTGGTGTCAGCAGACTGTCAGACATAAACTTCAGTTAAAAAAAAAATTCCCTGGAAGGGCGTTACCACTCTTGAGTAATACCGTAGATTCCTTACCGGAAAATTCTTAAGAAGAATGAAAATGTTCCACAGACTGATAATCTCACTGAACTACCATTTTGTTTCCCTCAAATAATAATTAATTTATTTAATTAGAAATACAGTTTGGGCAGTGAGCACCTGAATAGTAAAGTTCAGGCAGGCTGTTCTCAGTAACTCAGCTGTAACTGAAGCTGTTGTATAAATAAAGACACCAGGACCCTGATCTACAACCACACTTATCATTTCAAATATTCTGACAGCAGAGTGACTTGATGTCAGGATTATAGAACAGGTTTTACAAAGAGACAGAGAGCTGTGTAGTCAAAACAGGAAGGAAATGTTGACAGACTGGTCAGTTCACAAGAGAAGAGATTGAAGAAGGCAGTTTTTAACTTTCAAAATAGTCCTTATTATCAAGAACATTTGCAGTCACAGTATCTGAATGACTAAAGTTGATCACAGTATAGCAAATCATTTTCACTTAAGACAAACTCAAGGTTTTACAAACATACATGAGAAGCTCCTCAGTAAACACACTTTTCAATTACTTAATTGTACTTAAATTTAAAACCACTCAAAGCTAAAATATATATAATCTTTGATCCTTTTTGTTCTTGAATCTCTAAACCACAAAAGATTCTCTTCCTACCTTTATGCTGTTGAGGGAACGCAGCTCTGTCAGGTCTGAACACGAGTTGACATTGTTAGCGCTCTTTAAACCTGTTCAACACCTTCCTGAATCTGATTCATGGCCCTAAGCAAAGCCAGTCCTATCCTGTAGCACACTAATTACAAGTGAAGAAAGAAGCACAGCGTAAATACAAATGCAGGTATGAGATAATGTTTGATAAACAGGACACGTGCTGTCACAGTGGGAGAGAAGACAGAGCCAGAGACCAGAGTTTTAACATTTGGATGACCGTGTGGAAAACAAAATAGCAGCAACATCCATAATAAATATAACAGCAGTGCTAGTGGATATATGTATACATATACATGTGTACATCTAAAAATGCTAAAATGAAAAAGGGATGATGAAATATGCAGATATGTCCTTATGCAAATTATTAACTGGTACAATTACCTACCAAAATACTTAAATTACCATCAGCCTTAGCTGTCTTGTGCGTTAGACTGAAACTGCTCAATACAAGCTGAGCCAATGTGAGCACAAAAGCATGCTAGTGTTAGCAGGTTTTGAACTATTATTAGGTTTTTAACAAAACTATGAATGAACACATATGGAATTATCTAGTAAACAAAAAAGTGTGAAATTACTCAAAACATGTTTTATTCTTCAAAATAGCCACCCTTTGCTTTGATTACTGCTTTGCACACTCTTGGCATTCTCCCAATAAGCTTCATGAGGTATCTAATAAAACAGAAAATGGTTTTCCAACAGTCTTAAGATAAGATAAGATAAGATAACCTTTATTAGTCCCACACGTGGGAAATTTGAAGCAGTTCCCAGAGATGCTGAGCACTTGTAGGCGCCTTTGCCTTCACTCTGCTGTGCATGTCACTCCAAACCATTTCAATTGGGTTTAGATCAGGTGAATGTGGAGGCCAGGCATCCATCACTCTCCTTCTTGGTCAAATAGCCCTTACACAGGCTGGATGTGTGTTTGGGGTCATTGTCCTGGTAGCCATGCTGGTTCAGTGTGACTTCAAATGGTTGTCTGTCTCTGTACCCTAACCTGTCCAGGGTGTACCCTGCCTCTTACCTTATGGTAGCTGGGATGGGCTCCAACCCCCCCCCCCAAGGATAAGCACAAGAGAATGTATGCATGGGTGG